ATGCGGAAATGGTATGTTTGAAAGAAAAATCTATTCTGTCAAAATTAGTTATTTTTATTTTTCAGCACAGATGCCAGCGAAAATTTCTCGCAACTGGCGCCAGTTCTGTGTAATACCGCTCTGAATCTGCTGCGATTCATCGGTTTGTTTTAATTTTGCAATGTTGCCATACATTGTCTATTTCGAAGTGCTGCTTTTTTCGAAACCTTTTTCCCGTATGAGTCTCCGTTAGGCTCCTCTGTCCCGTCCTTTACCCTCTCCCTGCCCCATCCTAACGGCTACCTGTACAAGGAGCCGATCAGTTTTTATTTTTAGGAACGGTTGCTTGCAGGAAAATACATTCGAATGACATATATGTTGCAGTCAGTTGCTGATCAAGCTGTCAGCAATATATTGGAGCTGTGCAACTTCTTTTTCTTCACTGTATGCTTTTTATTGAATTTGAGCAAAAGCAAACTTTTAACTCATTTTTCCCCACATTTGCCAGTCTATTTACGTATACAACTTAGGGATGAAACAGACTGTTTCTTAATTATCAAGCATTTTACACATGTTCCATTTAAAACCTCAGCTTTCTGCTATCTTACGAATTGACCCGCAGCAGTTATTTTTTTTTTTTTCTTCATTCATCACTCGCTCACGTTTTTTCTGCCTCCCGTCGTAATTTTCTTACGCTATAGTTCTCCTCCGTTTCCCTTATTTCAGCCTCCCAATAATTTAGTTTCTTCCCAATTCACTCATCTCGTTATTGCAGCTGGGATTTTGTCGTTTTCTTATGTATTATGTTGCTTTATTCTTTGTTATGGGAGGGGGTGGTGGGAGGGGAGGAAGGAAAAGGGGAACGAAAGGACTGCGAAGAACTTTGAAACAATTGTATATTACATATTGCACGATGGAGGACCACTTTTTTCATGTTTTTTCAGGTGCACTCGTTCTTCACTGCAGATGCCGAACGTGTTGCTGGTGTATTTTTCTCGCCCCATTTGAAAAGTGTTCTGGATAGTCTCGAAAACAAATTGTTCAGGGAAGATTCGTCTTCGGAAGGTAGAGTGGTATGTGTTTCATCTGTTTTTCACCGGTTTTTCTGGAAAGCAATGAAAATTATGGCTTTTCAAAAATGTGTGTTTCCAAATGAACATTGTTCTGAGGCTCAGAATCCCCCAGATAAAACCGGGCTGGCTAACGTTCATGAGAACATTACGAAGACTCTCAAGGCAATCTTGCTGGCTTTTCGCGTGACTTCCGCAACATTTAGAAAGTCGGTGCGGTGATTCGGTTTTAGTAATAGTATTCCGCTGAGATGCTCTCATACGCCAGGTGCAGCTAATATCAGGTCACACAGTCTTCGACTCACTTGTGCTGGGCCCTTCAATAGGTCCTTTGGGGCATCGCTTTAACACTGTCCTTAAAGATTATTTGGTTTCAATTCTGGCCATTTTTCCAGGAATTTAATCCATGTACATTATCCGGGGCGGTGCAGCTGGATGCAGAGCCGGATTATGCCCTACCGGAACGTATTGTTGGTGCGGAATCAATGTAAGCTCGCAGTATTTGCTTGAAACAGTGTAAAAAATTGTCGGATCCTTTTGGATTTGTCGAAAACGATGTAAAAAAACTGTCCAATCAAAGGTATTGTGCTGTTAAATAGATTTTAATTTGGTGAGCTTGCAGAAATTTTATTTCTAAGCAGCTGGATCTCATTCGACCAGTTTTTGAATCGTTGATCAGCGAGAAGGCCTATGCCGAAGTGGAGAAATACTATACAGAGGTATATTTTTATTCGCTTAACTGCAGCCCTCTTCTGTCGATACTTACACAGGTATCATCCTCTATAATGGGATTTTTAAGGTACAATACCACTTTTTACATGCGTTTTTTTCTGCACTACTGTTATTACGCAAGAGGGCTTTTTTGCATGTTTTTTTTTCTCGTGCTATATCCATTGGACTATACTTTTTAAGTTCATAACTATAAAGGCAAAAACAAACTTCTGAATTAAAAGAGTTACCAGGATTCTCTGGAAAAATTATCAATTCGTGGTCTGAATTTTCATTTAGATGATGTAAGTGGCAATTTTTTCATCGCGGTTTTCGCATTTACACTACTCCATTTCAAGTTAGTGGGTCATCTTCCTGTTCATTCATAAGTTCCACACTTAGAATTCTGAGAGTCAGAATTTTCAGTTAGGGATAACTGATAGGCTTTTCCTCAATTTCAGTAATGTTCCAAAAAATTACGGAATTGTTCCGGAAAATTTTCAGGTTCTTTCTGTGGTACCGCAAATAAGGGAGTGTATTTATGGTTCAGTTGCTAGCCGCTTGTTGAATTATGAGCGCATTGTTATGGATGTGGAAGGCACAAAATGGGATATCAATGAGCTGCAGTCACAGCACAGTGCCTATGTCGATAATCTATTAAAAGTTTGCCATGCTATCATTTCAGAACTCCCAGTAGGAAGTACTGTCATGAAAAATTTGCGAAAAGTCGACGGAGGAAAAGCCGCCCCAAGAACAAAATGTTATGGTGCAGAAGAGATGGCAAATACGCTTCCCGGCTCCTCATGGGACACCGGTGGTGTAGTGGTTTAGCCGCCATCTTCGAATGTGAAGAAGGTTCAGCTCTTTCCCGGTCCAGCAATCACCCAAAAAAAGCAAATAGCCCTCGGCAGCAGCAATCAGATGTAAAGTAACGATTGCGAGGACATCATATGTATCATTGGTGTGATCAACGGAAACCCTTTTCTTCAATATTTTTTGGAATTTTTGGTCGACAGAGTGCAGTTATACGAACTTTCGGGACGAAGTGTTGATGATTAAAATTTCAAACATCAGAAGCATTTTGCCAAATGCTCCAAGTACTTTGGCCAGAAGAACCGTTAAGTTTGTAAACCACTGTTCAAGAGACGGGAAAAAAAGTCCATCACCACTTGCAGACGGACCGGGTAATGCAGCATTGGTCAAAACAACTCGAGTTGTCGCCAAAAGTGTATTTTTGGAGAGCCAGAGCTATGAAGCTTGATTTTTCCGGGCTTTACAAGTAGGGATTTTTTGAATGCGAAAGGATTCTGAAAAAGAAACAAAAAAAGAAGAGGCGGCACAAGTTGTGTAAGGAATACGATCATCAGCCGAGGAGTTATGGCTGTCGTTTCTAAATCTGTTACACTTTTCTGGCAGTGGTACTGGATTTTCCTGTGTTTTTTTTTTTTTTTTCATTTTAATTTGAATTGAGAGCGGAAGCTATGGCTGATCTTTGCTCATTTAGTATCAGAAAAATCCATATTGCAGGAGTTGATAGCATTAAAGCATAGGCTGAGCAAGATCAACGAAAATATACCGATCACAAAACCCGTTCAGAGGATTTTTTGGAGTACCGTCATCTACTGTTTATTCAAAGCTCTTGTTCAAGGGTTTGTTGCGGTTCTTCCAATAAGCTTTTGTGTTTTTCTGTGTTCTGACACCCACTAGTGAATATCACATTGGTGGGTGTGTGTGGTGCAGTGGCAGTTAGTGCTAATCTCGAAGCTCTTGTCACTGTTTGTTTTAGGATCTTTTTTTTTTTTTTTTGCTGTACTGCATCATTTCCTGGTAGCTTCGAAATTCCGTTTTTTATACACTGCATTGTAAT